TGACAGAACCACCAAGACAGCTTAGCAGGTAAAGGCATTTGCCATCAAGCTTGATGACCCAAGTTAAATTCCCAGGATCCACATCATACTGGAGAACTGACTCTCACAGGTTGTCCTATGACACATGCATCATGGCTCATGGGTGCCTATTCACACACTAAATGAATAAATGTAAAAATTCTATTTTCAAGATATGGGCTAACAATTTTGTTCTAAAAGTAATTCTAGAGTACTGTAATGCATGCACTTCCAACTATCTACCACTTTGGATTATTCAAACCTCTATTCCTTTATTACCATTAAGTATCAAATCAAACCGACAGAGGTCTGTAGAGGTGACTCAGCTGTAAAGTACACACCATACAAGCATGAAGACCTGTGTTTGATCCCTAGTATCCATATATAAGTCAGGCAGTGTGCATTTGGAATCTCAGAGTCGGGAAAGAGGAGACAGGAAGATCTCTGGGGCTCAGTGATCAACTAGTCAGCCTTACTGACTTGAACTCAGGGAATTCTAAGTTCAGTAAAAAACCCTGCCTCAAGAATAAACAAACAAACAAATAAGAAATAAAAATAAGGTAGAACCTGGCGTGGTTGTGCATAATCTTAATTCCAGCACTTGAGAGGCAGAAGCAGGAGGATCAATGTGACTTTGAGGCCAGCCTGGTCTATATAGTGAGTTCCAAGACAGGCTGTGCTATATAGGAGACCCTGTCCCCCAAAAAGGGGCTTCCACACAGATGCAGTTTATATATATATATACACACACACATACATATATATACACACACATACATATATATGTGTATATACACACACATAGATATATATGTGTATATATATATACATACATACATACACACACACACTCCCTAATTGATTCAGACAGATATAAGAATGTATATTCAGATTTAATTGTTTTTTAATAATTAGCAAACATAATTTGACACTACATTTTTAATATCTAACAGGCTAATGGGCCATCACATTAAATAACATTTCTGCTTCCTATATTGTTTTGCTTTCAGTATGAATTTACACTTACGATTTTAAAGGATTTGACATAATGTAATTCAGAAGTCAACAGGGCAGGTCAATGAAAAACAGTGACACACTGCTTTAGCTACAGTTATAGCCTACACAATAATGCCCTCCTGTACTCTTTTAATCAGGAAACCCGAGCTAGGTGTGGTAGCTCACACTGGTAACTCCAGCACTAGCGAGGCTGAGTGGAGAAGGCTGCTGTGAGTGAGCAAATAACCCATGCATTGAGATCCAGGTCAGACTGCACTACAGAGTAAAACCCATCACAAACAAAACAAAGCAAAGTTTCCTCGGAGGTGGCACACGCTAGCGCTCTGGCAGAAAGGCAGGAATTTCATGACTGCAAGCCTACACAACCACAGCAGAGTACACACTGACACAGAGCACTATGAAAACCCACTTACTCCCACTATCTCTACCCCGTTCATCTTTTCCCTCCCTCTGTCGATCTCTAACCCAGTTATACATTTATACCTGCAGACATGGCCCTGCTGATAACAGTGCTTAGATCTAGCTGATTTTCCTGTGTGCAGCTCATCTCAAGTTCCAAATAAATGGACAAAATTACACGTACTCTACGCAGATATGTCACATACACTCGCACAGATGACTAGCACGTGGAAACAGACTGACTTTATTTGGTCCCCACCTGAACAACTGGAAAACACCTGACATACAACTACCACACGTTCTTATTCCCTACAAAAAGCACACACAGAGGAATCATACCTTACACTCATCAGGAGCCCAAGACAGTGTCCAGGACAGAGTAAAACACACCCTTGCTGAATCAGTCAATTACTGAAAATGTGAATGCAAACAACTGAGGATGGGAGAAAAGAGGAAGAAAGCTAAGAGCACACAAAAAAGGAAGAAGAAGCCAGCATGTGACACCTACCTGTAATTCCAGCTCTCAGAATGTGGAGGCAGAAAGTTCACGAGATCAACGCTAGCTTTGGCTACATTGTAAATTGGAGGTTTGCTGAGGCTATGTGAGACTCTGTCAGAAAGAAAAATCTTTTTAATTGAAAATTAGACAAGATATATATATGTCTCACAATTATCAGCCACTGTCTTAAAAGAATCATCAGAAGCACTTTAAAATATCACTGGAATTATCTTCCCATCTTAAGTTTTCAAAGTGTGATTTCTACCGCTTTAAGATATGCAAATTCTAGACTTCACTTCAAATTGAACAGGTATGTCAATTGACACATGCTAAGTGTGAAGAGTACTGGCCCTAAATGATGTAGGCCCTTAAGTCCTTTCTGTTATACTGACCTGTTCTTTAAATAAGTCAGAAGATGGGAGCTGAAAATTGTCTTTTGGATTTTGTGGTGCTGGGACCAAACCTAGGTCATTACACTCGCTAGGCAAACATTCAATTATTGAACTACATCAACAGTCTGAAAAAAAAACTGCGAACACCAAGAATTGTGATGGGATCTGACCTCTAAGTATTTAATGTCAGGCAAAATATAGCTTAACGGTCTACCACTAAGATGAAAGAAAACTCAGCTATAGAGCAGTAATAGCCTCAAGAACTCACTTTTGTTCATTCTTGTCTAGCACAGGGGTTGGAATGATATACATTTAGCCAAGGTTTCCCAGATGGATTAATTTTTTAAATAATTATTAAAGGAGGGGTTAGGGATATGGTTCAGCAGATATGATCCAGGAAGACATGACATTAACTTCCAGGTTTCCACATGTAGGTTCACACATGTGTGAATACAGATGAACATGCATTGACCCAATTGCACACCACACACATACACACACCACAGACGGCTAGGATAATCGTGGGGTTACCTGGCCACCATCAATCTCATTCTAAAAAAAAAAGTGGAAATGTTGGGAGATGCAAGCCAAGGAAGTTCTAAGATCTGGAATATAATGGGATGCACACTGTGGAGCCAGAGATGGGATTCTAACTGTAACTGTGGGCTCTTTCTAAGAATTCTACTTATGTGTGCGAGCTTGTCTGTATGTGCACCATGTGCACAGTGCTTGTGGAGACCAGAAGAGGGTACCAGATGTAACTGGAGTTACACACGGCTGTAGGCTGTGAAGTGGGGGTGCTGGAAACTAAACCCAGGCCTTTGGAAGATCAACATGTCTTCTTAACCTTTGAGCCATCTCTCCAGGGCCCAACTGTGGATTCTTAAAGACATTTAGAGTTAGCTAGACTTGATGGCCCCATCTGTAATTCCAGCACTGAGAAACTGAGACAGGAAAAGAAGGGGCTAAAGAGCAGCCTGAGCTACATAGTGAGAATGGCTCAAAACACCAAAAAGGGATGTGTGTGTGTGTGTGTGTGTGTGTGTGTGTGTGTGTGTGTATAAAGTGTGACAGCTTGGGAGCATGGGGATCTTGGGAGAGGGTTGGGAGTGGGGGAGGAGAGACAGGGAGGGAAGCAGAGAAAAATGTATAGTTCAATAAAAATCAATAAAAAGGGGGGGGGAGTGTGACAGCACTAGGAAGAGGCAGCTAATGAAAAGGAATCTGGGCAGATCTATTTTTCTAAAATACCAGCGGGTCGATTGATTAATCAATTTAATCTGCCAAGAAACTATTCTGAAGGATTCTCAGAAAAAGAACGAGCTGCACAAAAAATGTCAGAAACCAAAGAAGACTGCACATAGCGAACAGATCTCCGCAGGCTCATTTCCTGTTTAAGTATGACCTCCTGGGATTAAGTTTTACTGCCGTGTTCATTACCAAATAGATGACTGTGGGTTTTAAGAGAGGCAGAGGGCAAGTTGGAAACTTGATTCTTAGCTAAACATGAATGAATACATGGGGGAGGAGGGCTAGAATCAGAACGGGAGGGGGTTCGGAAAAGGGCAAAGGAGATTCTTAAACACAAATGAGAAGATGAGAAAACAGAAAAGGGAGGGGAAAGAGACGAGAAGAAAAGGAAAGTAAAAACTGGGGCGGTTTCCCATTTCTGTTTGTAATCAGAATGCAGGCTTGCAGAGGAAACTCATCAACTTCTGTAAGCACAAAAATAATGACCCAGTCACGTCCTCAAAACAAACCCGCATCAGCTTCACAGCCGGCCCCAGCTGTGCTGCACGGACGCCAGAAATTGATTCTAAGGCAGAGCAGAGCCGTCAGATCAAAATGGCCAATGTAAGACGGCCAGATTTCAATCACGAAATGGGTGTGTCCCAAGTTCTGTGGGTTCCCTCTCAACCAACAGCCAAGGCAGCAAGAAGATGGCTGGGGTAGGAGGGCTGCGGGGTGAGGCACTTCCCGGACGACTTCCCCAGCCCACGCCGGGTCCAGAGCATCAGCCAGTCCCAAACCCAGAAAGCCAGTGCCGAACCCCAGGTAGACCGTCCTGAACTCGAGGGGCTGGCCCCCAGCTCCAGCCAGCCGGTCCCGAACACTAGGTGACGGGTCCCGAACACCAACTGGCCGGTCCCGAACATTAGGTGACAGGCCCCGAACCCCAGCCAGCCGGTCCCGAACTCGAGGTGACGGGCCCCGAACCCCAACTGGCCGGTCCCGAACATTAGGTGACAGGCCCCGAACCCCAGTCAGCCGGTCCCGAACACAAGGTGACGGGGCCCGAACCCCAGCCGGCCGGTCCCGAACTCGAGGTGAGGAGCCCCGAACCCCAGCCGGCCGGTCCCGAACTCCAGGTGAGGAGCCCCGAACCCCAGCCGGCCGGTCCCGAACTCGAGGTGAAGGGCCCCGAACCCCAGCCGACCAGCCGCTGTGACTCACCGACAGCTCGGAGCTCGCGCGCCTGGCCGCGGGCGACACCCGGCACACCTTGCTGTCCCGGAACGGTCCGGCACCCTCGGCTCCCTAGCGAGGCCCGCGGGGAAGGCGCCGCACCCCTGCGGCGGGAAGCACAGCCGCTCCCTCCTCGATCGCCCAGGCCGAAGCGACCCGCTGCCGCCGCCCGCCGACGGACTTCCTGGAAAGCACCGTGCTGAACTCACCTGCTGGCGTCCGGCCGCCGACCCCCGGCAGAGCCCGCAAAGTTTAAGTTGCTCTTCTCTGCGGCCACGCTCCGCTGTGCCTCAGCTTCAGGGAGTTGCCGAACGCTCCCGCCGGCTGCCCCCAAAACCCGACCGCGCTGTCCGGGTTGCCGGTTTCCCCCCCCCCCCCCCCGTCTCCGCCCATGCGCATGCGTGTTCTTGGGGGCAGTCTGCATGCTGGGAGTTGTAGTTCGAGGGAGAAGGGCGCGGCTCCACATGGACCTGGCCCTTTACAATGGGAAGGGTTTTATAACAGTATATAGAAACCAGGAGTAGGCTGAGAAAAATGCTCTCTGCTCCCGTATTCTAGAGGACTGCGACCCTCTGGAATCTAGAAAGACTACCTAGAGGCTTTTTTGGTAATAGGTTTTCTTCTTGCATGGTGGTCCTTTTGTAAAAAGACATACGGAGCCAAAGCGTCTTTATACCCTTGGTTACTAATGCGAGGGCATGATACCAGCTCTCTAAACTTGACAGGGAAGACAGATAAAAACTAAGGGACTGGGGATGTAGCTCAGTTGGTAGAGTGCTTACTCAAGCACACACAAAGCCCTAGATTGATCCCGAGCACGCATAAGCTGAGTGTGGTGGTTCATACCTGCAGTTGATGCAGAAGGAAGGGAATCAGAAGTTTAAGGTAATCTTCAGTCAGCTACATACTGAGTTCAAGGCTAGTTTGGGCTACATGAGTATGTATGTATATGTAAGTATGTATTTATATATTTTTGGCCAACTCAGGACAGAAAAGGTCATAGTCACCCCAGTGCATGGAGTAAAAATGAAAAACAACCAGATTCCATTAATGGCCACATTCAGGAAAGGAACAGATAAAGGGTCGATAAGTCCATATGAGCTTTAGGTTTAAGCAAAGGAGGAAGTGGGGCAGGAAGCAAGAAGTATGTATAACTGAGCAATCCTAGTCATGATGTGTCCTGGCTGGTCATTGTTTCAGTTTGATTCTGTGAGGTGGTCCAAAGAGTCCCCTTTGCCTGAGAGGACAATATCATTCCAGAAGATGGTCCAGGGTACAGCCTCCCTAAGCATGGAATGCCCTCATCTGGGAGTTGTTCTTACCTGGGATGCTCTGATGTTCATAGAATCCAGGTGATCTTAGGTGCCTATGGGGAGTGTTGTGGGATGATCCTTTTGTTCACTGTGAAGCTGTATCTCTGCCAAGGCACCTTCTGATTGGTTTAACAAAGAGCTGAGGGGCTGGAGAGATGGTTCACTGGCTGCTCTCCCAGAGGCCCTGAGTTCAATTCCCAGCAACTACATGGTGGTTCACAACTATCTATAATGAGATCAGGTGCTCTCTTCTGGCATGCAGGAGTACATGCAGGCAGAACACTGTATACATAATAAATAAATCTTAAAAAAAAAAAAGAACTGAATGACCAATAGCTAGGCAGGAATGGATAGACAGGACTTCCCAGCAGAGAGAGGAACTGGGGAGAAGAATCTTAGAGGTCGGGAATTTGCCAGTGAGACACAGGGTGGGGATGGAGGTGTGTCAGACATACAGTATGGAGAAGTAATGAGGCATGCGGCAGAACATAGATTAATATAAATAGGTTAATTTAAGTTATAAGAGCTAGTTGGTAACAAGTCTAAACTAAGGCTAAGCTTTCATGACCAATAAGACGTCTCCCATGTTATTATTTGGGAGCTGGTTATCCAAAGAAAGACTGGCTACAGGGGAGTAATTGTAAAAGTTGACTATGTGATACCTCATTTACTTTATTTTTTATGCCTTTATTCTTGTAGGGAGATGAGATATCATAGGTTTCTGGGTAGGTATTCCTTGAATGATGAACATGCCTACACACTGAGGTAACTAGGCAACCCAAAACAGGAAGGCAACCACAAAATGAAAGCCGAGATGCTAGGCTTTATCCTGCGTTTAGTTACCTTATGGGCCCAAGTGAGGAGTCAGTGCTTTTTAACAAATGCCATTTCTAATTGCCTGTTAGGTAGCAATTGCCTCATCGTCCTGGTCAATCTCTGTTCCATCTCATCCTCCCATCCCAACTTTATGTTCTGCATCAGTCAGTGAGATTGGGCTAATGTGAGCGAGAGCAAATGACAGAAGCAGCGGGTCAAAGGAGGGAAAAAAAAGTAGACAATCTAGGGAGCGGAAGAAGAAGAAAGTGGAAACACCTCAGAGGACTTCTTGATGTCCTGTGTAATGGCTGTCTCTTGTGCCGGGCTCTGAGGAGAAGATCCCCAGTGAGTTTAACAGCATAGACAGGAATAATGTTCTGTCTTGATAACCTTCTAAAAATGTAGCCTGGAACCAGGCAGTGGACACACACCTTTAATCCCAGCACTTGGGAAATAGAAGCAGACAGATCTTTACAAGGTTGAGACCAGCCTGATCTACAGAGTGAGTTCCAGGATAGCTAAGGCTACAAGGAGGAACCCTGTCTTGAAAAACCAACACCCCCCCCAAAAAAAATGCAGTCCGGAAGAGGACTGGAGTACATGCTTGAGGTACATTCCAGCTACACCCAGAACAGGGACTCACCCAATGGTTAACCTTCTCCTGGCACCTACTTCTTCCTCTCAGGGTGGGGAGTACCCTTGGTTAAGTAAACATTCTGGAATTTTGTGTAACTGGCACCCACTGAACATCACTGATGATTTGGAAAACCTGTCTCTCCTGCCCTCCCCCCTTCTTCCCTCCCTCCCTCTCTCCCTCGCCCTCCCTCTCCCTCCCTCTCTCCCTTTCTTTTTTCCCTTTGTTTGTTCATCTGAGACAAGGCCTTGCTATGTAATCTGGCTGCCCTGAAACTTACTATTTGATCAGGCTGGCCTCAGACTCAAAGCAATCATTTCTACCAGGAACACAGGCCTGCACCACCGTTCCTAGCTAAGGGAAATCTCCTGTAAATTAAAATATCCAAGAGCTGGTTTCTGAAAGACATTTCCTACAGTGCTCAGGTTCAATTACTATTCATTAAATATCTAATACATAACAAGAATTGTGCCATTGTTTGTAATATCTTGTTGAACTTTGAAACAATTCTACAAAGAGGAAATTAATATCCTCACGTTTTAAACATGAAAATAAAAATGAAGAATTGAGAAAGTTAATTTGCATAACGTCAAATGGTTTTTCTCGTCAAGACTACTTTCTTGTCAATATGTCAGCACTCAAATAACGACATGGTAGACTTCTTATGAAGTATAAAAGTTTGGCCTAGCTTAGGCTTGTTCCTTGTTATGCCCAGATCCGGGAAGTCCCTCAAGAACCAACAAGGAGACCGAGTCCTGTATGTAAAAGCAAAGAGCCTTTATTCTACAAAAGTTTGCAAACTCGGACTCTCCCTGTGTCCAGCGCACTGGAATGATCACAGAGTCCTGAGCTCAGTAAGAGTTGGGATTTTATAGTAGTAATGGTGGGAGTGAGGGATTTCTAAGGATCAGGACCCCTGATTGGCTGACATTGGTCTAGGGGTGTCCTGGTGAGTGTGTGCTGGCAGGTGAGCCTATCTACAACAGTTGGAACGTTAGGAATTTCCTTTGGATGGTCTGTTCCTGGGTGGTGCCTGGGTAATCTTATTTTGTGGTTCTTCCTGCAACCAGGTATTGCCTCAGGGTAAATTACTGAGACTCAGGCCTCCCTTAAGTTTATCATGGCTGGGTCCTACATTCCTAACTAGTTCTTATAGCTTAAATTAACCCATATTTTGAATCTACTTTCTTCCACAAGGTTCGTTACTTCATTTCCATACTGCCCATCCTGCATCCTTTGTGTCTGGCTGGTGACTCTTCTACCTTTCTTCTTCCCAGAGTTCTCTCTGTGTGTGGAAGTCCTGCCTATACTTTCCTACCGAGCAATTGGCCGGTCAGCTTTTCATTACACCAACCACAGCAATACATCTTCATACAGTGTACAAATATCCCACAACAACAGACTGCATGTAAATCCAGAAATGAAGCATATACTCAATTACTAGCCTGCCTTCTAACTGCTGATCAGACCGATATGCTAACCTGTGGCCAGGCTCAAAGAATATGAAGAAACTTCTCCAAGACATTCCAGAAGAGACAGGATTTTGAATAAGTAAATAATTTGGATTCTTTGACAGTTTGTTTGTGTAGTATTAAAAAAAAACCCACAACTCCAAAACAAAACCTGATTCACTATTGATGTATATGTATGTGTGCATGCATGTGTTTATGTTCACCATGTGTGTACAGGTGCCTCATGAAAGTCAAATGAAGATGCTGGATCCCCTGGAACTAGAGATACAGACCCTTGGGAACAGCCAAATGTAGATGCTGGGAACTGGACCCATGCTCTGCAAGAGTAATATATAACTGTTGAAACCATCCCTCTAGCCCATTTTGTGTGTCTGTCTTTCTTTCTTCCTTTCTTTCTTTCTTTCTTTCTTTCTTTCTTTCTTTCTTTCTTTCTTTCTTTCGTTTTTCTTTTTTCTTTTTTTTTTTTGAGAGAAGGTCTCCTGTAGCTGAGTCTGGCCTCAAACTCTTTATCCTTCCACTTGCACGTCCCGGATCCTGGAATTACCGCACGCACCACACATCTGGCCGACTTGACAACAGTTCCGTATTCCCTCCACATTAGTATCCTGGTTTATTCTGGCCTGAGAAAAGGAGCTGGCTCTCTCCTGCCACTATTTTAAGGATTTAACTCAGGTCATCAGCCTTGGGGCTCTCTGACCAGCCAGCCTAGCCTACTCAGTGAGCCCCAGGGCAGGCATCAATGGGGCTGGAGGGCTGGAGAAGTGGTTCAGTGGTTAAGAACACTTGCTGCTCTTCCAGTGGACTCAGTGCCCTCATCGGGCCTCCGCAGGCACTTGCACACATGTGATGTACATACATACTCAGGCACACATATATACACAAAAATCTTTATTTTTTTAAGATGGCACCAGACTACCCAAGACTGTCCCTTGGCTTCCACATACATCCACACACACCCTAACACACACACACACACACACACACACACACACACACACACACACACGAAGAAAGGCAGAGTATATCTCTTATTAGTTTTCAGGGCTTGATTAAAGTGAAAGTGATTGATAAGAAAATACTCCCAATACTACTCAGTGCATTGTGAGTCCTCATTAGTGTTATCTTTATGCC